CTTTGGTTTCAGAGTCAAATTTTGATTGATATCCTTTCTAGAATTCTTCAATTATTTGTTGTGTCCAATAATATCAGCAAGTTCCAAACTGAACCTTTTATTTAGTTAGGAAAGTATATTAACAACAACCTTCATAGGAATTGAACTAAAATCCTTTCTGCTTTCTTTTACAAACTTTTTTCTCTAACAAACCTTTCATTTGATAACAAGCCAATTTTGCAATAAAGTGGTTTATTCATTTATTGTCCCTTAAATCTAGCCCAGTGAATCTATGAGGTTTGGTATCATGTTTAAGTGAGGAACTGAACTTATCTCTGCAGAGATTTAATACAAAATGATAAAGAAGAACACCACAGCCACTCATAGAAAAATAAATAAAAATTTAAAAGATAATAAAAATATAATTGTGGCAGGTTTACTGTAACATTCATCTAAGCAAAGGGCATAAACTAAAATGCTGGAATTGAAACAACAAAGCTGCTATAAAATGTCATTTATCATCGACTTTAGCATTTTGACCAAATACAACAATTAAGCAAAATTACCAAGTTTTCCCCAGTTGTATAAAGATTAGGAAATGCTTATGTTTGTCAATATCCAGATTTATGAAGGATTCATTTTATTCTAGCCATCTACGTTTTAATTTGAGTATTTATTTATAGTCTTATTTTTTAATCAAAAATCAAATAAGATCATTGTCAGATGAATAAAATGCAATTGATTTTCAGCTAAAAGCCACACTCTGAAAATAGATTCAGGCTTAGACTGTAGGTCAAATCACAAACTTGTTCACAGAACATTCAATGCTTGAAGAACAAAACTGACAAGCTTATAAAAAGATCACACACAAAAGACGGTGTCTCATTTTTTGCTTTCTGAATTACTGAGCCTGATTTTTTTTTTCACTCAAGACAAATTTCTGTAGCTAATCATCATATCTAAGAGGAGTTCCCATTTTAGGTAGGCTTGGTTCCTATAAAGCACAAGATAGATCAACACAAAGAAGATTATAACTTGAAGGATCTGGTTTCTCTTTTCAGATAAAATAAAGTTCATTTAAGCAGAATTAACAATGAAATACAAACTTTTACTAAGATGGCAGTATAAAAAAAATTGTGACTTCAGTGTAAAAAGCTGAAGCAAAACACAAGACTGGACTTGATTGACTAAAAAATCTTACTCTTAAAATCTGGATTTTCAAAATTGACAAAAATGTTCCCATTTTACAATCAGTCAAATAGAAAATCAAATGAAGTTCAGAGAATTTACCTCCATAAAGTAACATTTAGAGTTCGGAAATAAAATTGCTTTGTATAACAGAAATAGGATTGTCAGGTCTGTGGCACTGGAGGAATTACTGACTGGAATAAAGGAGATGACAAGCAAATAATTTTTATTAAAACTGAGCATCTCAAAATAACAAATACTTGCAATATGACTGCTAACTAGCATCAGTTATATTTTCATTGGTCAAAAATTTTATTTTATTTATTAAATCAAAATAAAAGATTACTTTTTATTTTTGAAATTAACCTTATTGAATAACAATTTTATCCACCTAGAACTTTTTCATTTTTTCAGCCAGGAACAGTTCTATGTGCCTTTTGCAGTCTTCCAAGGAAGTGAATTTTTTTCAGTTATAGAATTTGAGGTGGCCGGGTTGGGGGGAGTGCAATATCTGGCAAATACAACAAATGGGTGTAAACTTCTCAGGCAAAATAACAATTTTTGTCTTCTAAGGGAACATGTTTTCTGGTAAAATATTTACACACTTTAACTACTTCTAGATGGCATTCTTTGATTGTTGCTTTCAATTGGTCTAATTGGTAGCATAACTTATCTGAATTGTTTGGTTCTCTGGAAAGAACTCAGATAAATATTTCCTTTCAATCCTATCATATACACGTGGGCATTTCAATGTAGTATAATGGTTAGCAAGCTTGCCTTGCTATGTCGATTATGATTGAGTAGCCAGTTCAATCCTCACTGGGTTCTCCATACTTTTGACCTAGTGCCACACCTAAGCTATGCTTAGTAAATCATTATCATATACACAGCATTAATTTTTCATCAACCATCACCAATTTCTTTCAAAAATGAAACAATTAGTGAATTGTATATGGAAATACAGAAAGCCACATGTCAAAGCAAATGAGATAACCAAACTGGTGCAAATGATTTAGATATTTTGAATATGTTGTTGCCTATCATACAAATTGTATAATATGATTATATAATTGCTATCAACCTAACAATGGAGCATCATCATTCAGTGAGAAACTACTTTTGACACATTTGATCTTTCAGTTTTTTTTGTTTTAAATGATGCCATTTAAGAATGTAGGCAATCATGTCTCTCAGTAGCTTCCTTTTCTTTAAAATCTGAACTGGAATGATTTCATGGCAAAATGGAATGGTTTCCCTACTGCCTTCACCACAATTTTTGATTGAGAGTATTCCATCTCCTAGTCTGGCTCCATTAGCTTACAAGACTATTCTGAATTTAAAACTGTGGTGATATAACAAAGTTTACTCTGCTTTTTAACCTATATACAAGGATCATTCCCAGTACTTTCTCCAGAAAATGCAAAAAAAAAAGGGCGGGGGGGGAATTTGCATTTGAATCATATTTTACCTTTCTTAAAATAAGAAAGAATACTATGCTAAAAAAACTTGCCTCTTTTCATCCATTTTCAATGTTACAAACAATAAACAAAAATAAACAAATTTTGATATTTTTAATCTGTATATCAATATGACTGTTGTATAATCAAATATGATCTTTTTTAATGAATTTATATAAAACTAAGCCCTCCAAATGTTATCCAATGATAAATTATTGGCCAACTCAGCACATTTATGTATCTTGGAAGGAAAATTCAAAAGGATGGCCAAAGATAAGACAAGGAATTTAAAGTGTCAAATGCTCAAGTTCATTAAAGCTTCTAAAGTGTATCACTCATCTTTTTAAACATTTTTTGTCTTTAGTAAATCTTCTAGAACTTTTAGAGATACATTGTTGATAGACAAAATCACAAGTTTTATTATTTGAAGTTTGATCAAAATGAACTTTCATTTTTCAGGCTAAATTCTTCAAATAAAATATTTTTAAAGTTTAAAACCATTGATAAATAATACAAAATATAGAAGGTTATAAAAAAAACATAAGGCAACTTTTTATGCTTCCAAATTTTCTAGAATCATTTTTGGAACTTTTAATAGGTTGTGGCAGCAAAATACGTGTGATGCCAACTTCACATTTCCATAACATGACATCATCTAATCTGAAATTGTTTAATTATATATATTGAATAATATATAATTAACCAAATGACACAAAAATAGAAATGTGTGTGTGTGTGTGTGTAAAATAAGGTTTATTTCAAATGCAAATAATTAGAAACTTTGTTTTTTTACTTTTGTTTTGTTTTTTTGGTGTGGTTGTGAAATGATGGTATTTTGTTTGGATAAACTTGAGCCAAATATCAGTGAGTGACCTTCTCAGTAACAAATCTAACAAAGCTTTTTTCTTGCTGATACCAACTTTTAAAGTCACAAAATGCCAATGATTCTATGCAGGTTTTTCATTTCATTTAATTACTAATCTGAATACTATAACTATAAATTTGTTTCACATTTTACCCTTCAGTGACATTATCAGAATTATTTTTGAACATTTTTTTTTTTTACTTAATAACAAATTATTTTATATTCAAATTTATCCCAACAGAAGTTTTATGTAAATTCATTTCAAGAGAAAATTTGTTAAATGAATGGGCTACTTTTTTATGAGATCATATGAGATTCGAGGAAGACTGTGGTTCACTTTTGTGTATTAATATTTAATAATTACTTTAAAAATGTGATTAGAAAATATTGCTGTGCATAATTTGGAAATGGTGAATAAATTTATTTGTTCATTTGGGATTTGTTTGAAAAATTTGCCAAGTCATACTTGTATGATTTGAGCTTCCACACCCCATTGCACTACTACCAAAGGTATTTAGCAGATAAAAGTTCTCCCACCATTTTATAAAATAATAAACATTTTTCTTCCAACAACAAGTTGCTGCTTTTTTTCTAGTTTTTAGATTTCTAAACATATGCCCATTGCAAACTTAAACTTGTTTCTTAACCAATATTTGAGAAAGCGCAGATTAAAATAAAAAAATGTTAATTATGATAACTAGTCTAAAAAAATCCATGGATAAATAAATTCAGTCTCTCTCAAAGGAATTCTATCAATTCACCAGATAAGAAAATAATAAATTATCATTGTTTACTTTTGCAAAACAATAGGAGAGATTCAAAGCCAAAATAGGAAATACAATTGCCATCAAACTGCATTGGGTATAATACAAAGTAATTAACTCACTAAATGAAACAACTTGGAATTCTCTGTGAAAAATTAAACTATGATATTAAAAAGCCATGTTTTAATTACTTTCAAGTCATAAAAACTTTGAAGTGCAAGTAAAATTGCTTCATAATACTTTTACTGTCTAATGATTATGTTCATATTTTTCATTTGTAGCATTTATTCTTGAATGACTATGCCGAAAGTTATAGTCTGAAAATGAATAACCTGTTATTCTTTAAAATGCACAGCAAAATAAATCCTTATTTAATATACATTTAGAATTAACAAGGTCCAGATTAGAAACCAAAGAACACTTAATGCAGAATATGGGCATTAATTTGGTCCAATCTCAGCACACACCTTCTTGATGCTTTGCCAACCCACTTCAATATAAGTGAAAATGTTCATCATGCAATCAAAGTTACATGAATTCTTTGTTTGCAATACTTGTAATGAAGAAAAATATTTTTTAAAATTAACTTCTAACAACAAATGCTATTATTACACAAAACATTTTTTTCATGAAAGCAAATATTTATCTCATTATTAGGAACACAAAAACTTGAGGCTTTACTTCAAAATTACATTTCAAGAGAATTTTTCATCCATAATATTTTATAAATAGGAAGAAAAATTAAACTTGCCTTAGTTCCATTGCAACCAGGTAATCCTGCTTGACCTTTAGAACCTGTTAATCCGAGAAGACCCTGAAATTAAATATATAACATAATAAATACATATTTTGCAAATAGGATTTATTAAATACAAATAAGAAATGGTAGCACATTATATATATATATATATATATATATATATATATAAAATTATGGTAATCACATACAACTAGGATCATGAGTATATTGGTTTAAAAACTGAAATTATATTGTCTTAATTTATATGTCCTCTCAACCATACACAGATTAAATACATTTTTGGCTCTTGTTAGGTGATATATATATTTTCATATTAGTTTAGGGAGACACCAATTACCTCCAATTTTTATTAAACAATAATGTACAAACAAATAAAAAGAAAAAGCACTATTACCTTTTAGGGTAACCCATTTTTTTTTAAATACTTTCCCACATCTGCATTTGATGTAATTAAATTTCTTACTATTTCCAGTGAGAATTTTTTCAAACATTCAACCATATCATTGGAGAGATTATTTGTATTTGCATGCTTATTGTGTCAGATATCAGTTTTGACCCATTGTCATAAATTCATGATGAAATTGAAATGTGGTAATTGGGCTAACAAGTGCTGCACTTCAATGACACTGTGTTCACTCTCAACTTTGATAAGTTGTTTTTGTGTTTTGTGTTATTATCATTGTGAAGGAATCCACAGCTAATTTTGAACTTATGATATAATAACCTTACTAAACTGTTCTAAATAAGATTTACTATATGTAATTCTTTTTGATACATCATTTTCAGACACATCATCCAACCCATAATATTCCCTCATTCATGCTGAGGCAGTGCCACTCTAACAATCAAATCCCAGATGTTAAATTTTGATTCATCATTCCATATCAACTTAGGCCACTATTCCAAGCTTCTTGGCAAATTGGACATTTGCTCACTTATTCTTTAAGGAAACCTATGACTTTTTGCAAGCCATATAGCTTATGTCCCCAAATTGCTTCAGTTGAGTTTTTAATCATTCTCATGCTCATTTTCAAACCATATTTTTGGTTGACATTATTTCTTATACTGATAACAGTCATTTTCCAATTTCTCATCAAAAGTTAGAGAATGAATTGTATTCATTCATAGAGATTTTTGTTTTTAATTTCGCTGTCCAAAATCTGAACTTATCCGAATAATGAACAAATATATTTTAAATATTTGTGACATTACAAGCAGCAGTTCTGAACAACTTCAAAAACTATTTTCTTGTAAGACTTAAACTTTGGTAATTTCATGATTTTCCCTCCAGTTTCTGATGACAAACTACTTTATTTCTCATTTCTATTAGAAAAATAGAACTTTTTGCATTTTGTTATTGACAAATGAAATGTAAAAGTTAATTTTGAGTGGTGTCTAAACAAAGTATAATGTTTATAACAATAATTTTACATATTAGAATTTTAAAAAATTACATAAAAATTAATGTTAGTGCATTCACATCTAGAGATTAAGTGATACTACTATAGATATGTGATTCATACCAAAATATTAGTGATATGTAAACAGATGGTTAACCCAGCTGTTCAAGATGTGCACACATGAGACAACCAGATAATAGGAAGATATATGTGTGCAACACCCAAGGAAGAAGAAACAGAGAGAGTCTTTCACATACTTGCAAGAAGGAGAATCTATGTTTGGAGAAAACCCCCAAAGCACACACTTGCCTATATTAAAGTTCGTAATTGAATAAACAATAATACAATAATATTACATATAAATGATTTAGTCTTGAGTTCTTATTAGTCTGTACAATAATAACATCTCCAAGGAATGTGACAAGAAGTAATCAACAGATACTTCAGAGCAAGCAGACATGAAACTTTTATTAACCCCAAAAGCTAAAAAGTGTCTCATGATTGAATAACAGTTCACAATGAAATGTTACTAGTTCATGAAATTATCCAAGAGAAGTTAAAATATAAAAAGTATCATCTCTTTGAATCACAAGCACAATGTTCCAGAACATGAGCCTTTCTTTTCAGCTACTGGAACCATTTCTAGAGTGCATAATCATAGGTGGTGAAATTTGGATGCATTGTGTAACCCTTGAAGCATTCACTGACCCTTCAATATTCAAAAGTTCAGCAGTTAGCAAAAAGATTGATGACAACTATGTTCTGGGATGAAAAAAAGTGCACTGCTTGCAGACTTTATACCACATGCTCAAACAGTGCATTGAGATAGACTGAGGAAACTGTTTATTTAAAAGAGACCAGGACATTTGTATACCAAAGACATCCGGCTAAATGACAACACCACACTGCACATGGTCAAGCTGACATCTGTTTGTGTACCTAAAACAACATTTCTCTGAGAAACAGGTCTACACAGAGGAGGTTGTTGCTGCAGAAGTGCAAGTGTAGCTCCAGTTACTTGACGCCACAATCTTCAAGAAGGGTATTGATGTGCTCATGCACCAATGGGATAAGCTTAGCAATTTCAATGGTGACTAATATAGTAGTACTTGTATTGCAATAAATATGCTACATTAATGTTTTTACCTCACTTTTTTGAACAACCCTTGTACGTCTTGCTTAGTATATATAGGCTCTGTTGTCTTAGTGTTATTTACATGTTATCTAAAAAAAATCAGATTTCAAATTGTTAGTGCTATAGATAATTATTTAATGGATATTTAATAGAGAGACTAATAACGAAATTTTTCTGTAATCTCAAATTACAACAATTCTTTACACAATCTACATAATTTGTAATATGATGAAAATGTATTTTCTTTAATAATACCTTTTGAGCAAAATAATTCATGAAAATAGTTTTGAATGCCATAAACAGATTTTATGTCATGCAAATTTTAAAAGTCCGGAGTTATTTCCCTTTAAATCGAAAAATATTTTCTTTTATTTGTACATTTAAGTAAACATAAATTTTGTAAATATTAATTTTTTCAAAATTTTTAAGTAATTAATCACAAATTGATGCAACAAAAAAATTTCAAACTTTTGTACTTAGTAAATCTTTATCTAACTGATATGAAAACATGTTAAAAGTATTAAAAACAATAATTCAAACATGTAGTAATTAATTTAATCTAACCTTCATGTTATCACTTAAAAAATATTTTAGAAGCATGTCTCTGTCCATTAACATATCTTAACACAATTCTTAAAATTAAATATATCTAAAAAATCATGAAAGGGTATTTAAAGAATCATAATTATGATTCTTTTCCAATGTCCAAATATTAATCATATCAAAGTTTATTCTTGTAAAAATTCAAAGTAATTTTCACTATTTACTGTTGAAACACAAAATTTGCTTAGTTATTAATGTCATTATCTGTTGTTTAGATGATTATTTTATTCTTTTTGAAGTTGTCATCATATACAATAGAGTCAAATCTTACCATTTTTATAAGTACAGACTTGAACCTTAGGAAGAAGGCATTAGGTATCATCATCATCACTCTACTCAAATAATTTTTAATATATAAAAAAAATTTATATAACATTACGGGTTTCCTTTGTGTTTCTGACTGAAAATTTAAATTTATTCTCATTTTTGTAATATTTTAGTTATTTCAATAATTGTGCTTGGATAAAAATGGTTGAGAATTCAATGGGAATCAAGAAAAATTTTAAATTAAGCAGAACAATAAAAATTTTAAATTAAGCAGAGCAATAAAATCTTAATTACATATACCAGAAAACATTTACTATCAATTGCAAAATGAGTGAATTTGTCAGCTCTTTTTTGATTTAGTTGAAACAATTCATGCAAATTTGTCAGACATGCAACTAATAGTAATTATTTATTGATGTTATCATTATTATCTAATTGGTTGTATATTAATTTAACAAGAGCTTCTTTTAAGAAGAAATAATTTTTTTTACATTTGACAGATAATCAGCATTAAAAGTTAAATAAATTTGAACTTGAGAAATTTTATTTGGTGAAAATCAGAATAGACATAAGTTTTTACATGAGCTGTACCAGCACCATCCCTATTCATTTAGTGAGAAGATTTCAAGTTAGGAATTAATGACAAATATATATAAAATAAAAATTCCTTGAAGATTATAAGGATCGACAGACACCTAAAGAAGGGAGGAGTGCACAATGACTGAAATACTGTGATAATAACATGGACATTAGATGATTTAAAAGCTATAATTTTACCTTCATGCTTTGAATGATGTTGAACAACAATTTGAAATTACAAAAGAGCAAAATATTTAGCAGTGTCAATAAAAATTTCAATGGTTTTTAAATTAAAACTTACTTTCTAATACTTTAAAGTTTTGTTTTTTTAATATTTTATTGGAGTATTAGGAATTAAAATCAAGTACCTCTACAAAAGAAAATATATTTGGATTAAATGATATTTGAAGTCAATACTGATATATTTTTTTAAATATTAAATATTTTTATGCAGCAAAAAATCTGAATAGCAAAGCAAGTTAATCAGTATGTCCCCCTTTAAATATAGATACTGGTTTAATAAATGCTGGTCACAGTAAAATATTCAGTTATTCCCGTCATCACTTTGAATCATTTCAATGAAATAGAAATAAAATGGCATCTACAATGACAAGCATTTATAACTTCATTTATGAGAATCTTAAAAAAGTCTTTGAGTAGATAATCTGTTTTATGACATAGGATCAACTGATCCTGATGATACAAATGTGCAGAGCTATCAAAATATTTAAATCAGCAATATCATCATCAGTCCAAAATAGAGACAATGATATCCACAAATATCTAGAAATCACGACTTGTATTACAACAGAATTTAGAAATGTTGAATTGATTTGACAGAGATGATATAGCTAAAACATACTAATGAGACTCTCCTGACTTATCAAATGACACTGAAAAGAATGTCTTATGTCAGTGGTGAAGAATAGTCTATTCAGAATTTCTTTGTCCTTCAGTAAATAATGCAGGTGTCATTAGATGTTAATCGCAAAAGAAAACATTCCAGTTATTCAATCCTATATTTTTTATTCTTAATCATGACACAAAAATGTAAATAATAGTGTTTTTTA